GTGCACTAAATTCTCCCTTTCATAATTACTTTTCACTGTTAGAGAGACAAAATTCAAATCCTTCCTAGAGTTCTTTTATGAACCTTTTTGATCTTTGACAACCACTTCTTTGATTTTGGTGACCATATGTAAATATCCTTCTCTAATTCAAATAAAAGGTCACTGTGGAAACCTTGTTCGACAAATCCAACAATAGCAGATCAACTTGTAAAAAAAAACAACTAACTTCCAAAATACCTTGCACTTTCCTACTATTTTCTAAGGCAACATCCTATTAGCAGTAATAATTAGCACCCTAATAATTGCAATCACAAATTAAATTTTTATTCACCCATAATTAATTGTTGATAATTAGAATGCAGATAATGTCTGTCTCCACTGTTAACATGAAGCTTTTTATAACCAGATTCTAAGAAGCTGATATTTAAATTGGTTTTCCTGGTGATCCTTGCACAAGGCCTCACCAGAATTTAGTTACTCTTGTTGCTGATTACTGGGGCTTCAGCAAAGATACCTCTAGCCTCCAAGATACTATACATAGGTCAGCTACCCCATACATCTATACCATACATCTACTCCAGTACATGTACTGGGCATCTTAGGGACACCATCAACACTGGACAGAGTCCTGGCCCCACGTGACCCAGTGTTGTGAAGATGGGGCCTCTTTTGTCTCTCTCCATGGAAATTGGCACGGTTTAATGTAAACCTAAATTTATGACACCTACGGATATATGATATCATTCCTATGGCTTGCTTTCCAAAACATTGCATGAAATCTGAATAAGGAAACTAAAACTTAGGTTATCGTTCTCCAGCAAAGCCAGACCTTTTCAGGTTCTTCCTTCTGTTTAACAGCTGATGCAGCTGGCACTTTTTCCTAGGGAGTATTTATCCACTGGAAATTCAGAAATTGTTTCTCCTATTGTTCTCAGGAGTCCCCCATTAAGACAGTATGTCATCTGCTTACTGTAATCCCTCAGAAACCACTCAAAGCCAGGACATCCAACAACCTTGCTTAACTTGAGCATCTGCAGAATTCATGCTGGAGTCCTGTAAAGTTACAGGTGCCCTTTACTTCCCCTTACCAAACCAGACGAGTGACAATACTTTTTAAAAGGCAAGCCACACAATTTTCTTAAATTCAGACTATTACATCAAAAATAACATTTGGTTTTATAAAAGCACTGCTTATTCACATTCTGATATGCTGTCTACTGCTGACTTGTCTTCCAGGTCTCCCTGAAGCACCAGCTCTACTACTGGGAGACAGTTTGTCAATTCTGAGCATACCAGTACAGGTTAACTTCTTGTGATGGGTTGACCTTGGCCAGCAGAAAGACCCCAACCCAGACACTCTCTCACTCCCCTCTGTCAACAGGATGAGGGGAGAAAATAAGATGGAAACCGTGTGGGTCAGAATGATTCCTTAGCAACTACTGTTATGGGCCAAACAGACTCAACTCGGGGAAATTTCATTTATTACCAATTAAAATTAGAGTGGGATAGCGAGTAGCAAAGACAAAAGTAAAAACACACCCCCCTCCACTCCATCTTCTTGCCAGGCTCAACATCATTCCTTCATTCCCAAGTCCTTGGCCCCTACCACCCTGAGGGGCATAGTGGGATGGGAACTGGGGTCAGTCCATAACAGCTCCTCCCTGTACTTCTTCCTCCTCCTTACATTTTTCAGCTGCTTCACTGTGGGTCCTTCCCACAGGCTGCAGTCCTTCAGGACAAACCTGCTCCTTCGAGGGCTTCTCCACAGGCTGCAGGGGAATCTCTGCTCTGGTGCCTGGAGCAGCTTCTCCCCTTCCTTCTTCACTGACCTGGGTGCTCACAGGGCTGTTTCTCTCACTTTTTTCCCCTCACTCTTCACTTTTGTGCAGCATTTTTGTCCTTTCTTACATATGTTTCCTCCAGGGTGTCCCTCCTCAGCTGTGGTAGGTCAGAGCTGGCTGGAACCATCTGTGTCCCGCATGGGGCAGCCCCAGCCTCCCCTCATAGAGCCCCCTGCAGCCCCCACTGCCCACACACGGGCACCATACAATCATATGCACAAGTTGTTTCTATAACACAAAATTCCTACTTTCAGTTATTTCACTGTGCTCTGATGGTTCTGTTTCATTCTGAAGCTGAGGAAGGGAAAAACTTAAGTGAATTTCCTCTCACCAGAGAATCACAAAGCCCTGATGTCATGCAACCCTGAAAGACAAATGCAGCCTTTGGCCAAAGCAGAGCTGTTCCCAGGGGTGGAAAGGAGGTACTAGTGTAATATAAGATACTGAGACTTTATATCAAATGCTATGGACAACTCTAAGCTGCCAACATATAATAAAAAGGAATTCAAGGAGGAAAAAATGACAAGCAAAGAGTATTAGGATGTCTAGGAAAATAAAAGAGCAGATTGATTTGTACTCATTAATATGGATTAAAGGGTGGGCTCAGTTCAGCGCAGGCTGTGTCTCACCTAAAAAATCCATTGCGCAGGCTGGAAAGGTAAAAAGACCTTTCCCCAAATCTTCGTTCGCGAAGATGGGCCATAATTATTATTATTAATATGCAAATGAGTCTCCAGGGGTAAAAAATAATTACGTAAGATAAAAAGGCAGTGATAATACAAGAATAAATTACTTTAAATTAGAACAGACTTTAGGTTCTTTCAGCCTTGGGCAATATATTGCTTGGGAATTTTGATGTCCTAAAACAAATTCCTTAACCTTAGCCTCAACCAGTGTCACAACGATACTTTAAAACAATATGGTCCTGAGAAAAAAAAAGGAAGAGTTAAAGCATCGGACAAACTACATATTCAATGTCCAACTGAAACTTGGTTGGACAACATAACAACCAGTCCCAGCTACCTCATCCCAAAGCCTCCTAGGTTATTTTTTTGCATTTAATTCTTATGACTCCTAAGCAAGGCTACTGCTGCTTTCCAGGATACACTTTCTTCCTGTAAATATGACCCACAAAACAAGATAAGCAAACTCGTTAGATGCTCTATGCCTACTCTATGCAAACCTCCATGCAAAAGCACTCTATGTACTTTTACAGTTTGCCTGCATGGCTTTGTTTTATAAGGTATCGCAGTTATAATTTTGATTTATGCTTAGAAGATCCTGACAGAACTGCAAGGTCCAGAAATGTAGGAAAGTCAACCCTCTACCTTGTACAAAATTAGTCCTTTCTCAGGTATATTTTGTAGCCTGCTTTGTCCAATTCCCATGCTTAAATTTCAGTGAACACAGCTTTGGTGACAAAATGCAGTGTTCACATGGTAAACTGCTTTTGGCAGCAAAAGCAGCAAAGCAGGAGAGAGAAGTTGCAGATCTCTAGAGCAATACAGAAGTCAGGCCAAGTGAGTACCTGGAGCTGCCACAATCAATTACCAGTACTAAAACCTCACAAGTCTTTATAGTAAGTATCAGGCGACATATTGGTGAAAACACTGTCAGCTTTTACAGCATACTCATGTGAGCCAAGCAGTCAAGGAAGCAGAGGCAGCTGGAATCATGTGAGGAAATAAATATATCAGACCAGAAGTAATGCATCTGATAAAGCTAGTATTAAATTTCCACTCTCTGCTCAGGTCATATCCCTAAGGACTCAGCAGTGACCCTAGCTGACTCATGAGAACATACACACAATAGCAGTAAGCAATGGTACAGCCAATTTCCATGCTTTCTTCTTATTTGTGGACACATGAGCAGGCACCACTCCTTTCAAGCTTGGCCTGTTTGCCATCTTGAGCTATAAACAAGGACAGCTATGTTCTTGCAGGTTTGCTCTATCTTTGTCATTCCACCTCATTCATCAACTGCTCAGCTTGGGGAAAACAGGAAGGCACAATGTGCTGAAAAAACACTTGTTCCTGCTCTGTGGCACTACCAGAACACACTAATTAGTCAATCAGATCCAGAGCATGAAGCATCTCTTCCAACACTGGAAACCCATCTGGGGGCTGAAAACTACAGCAACAGGCATAATTTACTTAATTAATGACCACTGCTTGTATTTTTTTGTTCCAACGTAAGCACCAGTACCATGACACAAGATCAGAAGATTATAATTGCTGAATAACACTGTCAGCTTAAGTGTACTCCAATACTTTTTGGGAAATATAGTAACAACTACTAAGTAAAATTTCACCTTTTAATTGAAAACTCCTGAATAGCAAAACATCAATAACATTTAAATGCATTTTACAGATTATTTACCAAAAAAAAAGGACTTTAGTCATACAAACACTATTACACATTGTTCTTCTCATCCCAGACTGTACCCACACACACTCTAGTTAGTGGAGCTGTACACATGAATGTCTTGCTTCTGCTTCAAATAATCTGGGGGACTTCAGTGCAGAGGCAGCCAGCCAGTTGCTTGCGCAGTGCATTCTTATAAGAATAATTAAAATGCCAGTAATGATGCTGTGTTCCTTTAACTCACCAATGCTGAAAAAGCATCAGGAATTCCTGCAAAGCACCATGCAAGACACACACTTTTAATGCTTAGAATTGTATTTTTTCGCAATGAGACAAGTTTTTGGTGTTTGTTTGTGTTTATGTTGTTTTTGTTGTTGGTAGTTCATACTAAATCATGGTGTGTCATGTGGTACCAAATGAAGTGTCTTCACAGTTAGAGCCTAATACAAAAATGGACCACACACTTCAGATACACAAGCCAGAAGGGATGTTTTTTTAACTCTTTTTAATACATACTTATATATACCACAGCTTCTAGTGTTCTGAACAAGCTCATGGGAATAATATGTTAACTGCTGGTGAAGGAACATTAGTTTACTAGGTTTTATAGCTATTTCCACAGATATGGTATTTGAAAAGTATGATATACCTTTGTCAACTTTAACAGAACACTTCAAAACAAACAAATCATTTTTCTTTAATGCATGCATTGCAAAAACTGTTTAAGCTACAAATAGCAAGTAAAACATAATAGGCATTTTTTAATCAGTAAATGAAACTCACGGTAGACAGCTATTCAATAAAATACTTTTATTTATGTACACAGCGTAAAGATGCTGTACCATTCAGCAAATGTTACATTGTATAAGAGCAGACTTGAGTTTGGTTAATATTTCTAAATTCACTTTAAGTGTGAGTCTCCCTGAGGTTAAAAAAGGTTTCTTATAACTGTACATCACATCAATATTTAATCAATGTGTTCAGGAAAACGCAAAAAACCTGAAAGATTTGGACATGGTTATTTAGTGAAAGATGGGCCTGACAGGAAATGCTGAAAACTACTAGACAAAAATATTGCCATGGTAATGTGAGGGCTGCAAGATCGTGACCAGTACTGCAAGAAAATATTATAGAAAAATTGGGGGGCTGGAGGGGAAATGATGGCAAGTTTTGGAAAAAAACATATGACAGGACACAAACGGAGGAAAACACAAACTGTGACTTTGGAATGTTGTTTGAAGACAGTAAGAACCAGATGCCTGGTCAAGGTGTCTTAGATCAGATATTTTTCTTTAAAAAAACCCAAACCAAAAAACCAAACACCCTCATCCCCACCGTAGTTTGTTGGTTTGGGGTGTCGGGTTTTTTTTAGAAAAAAAAGCTTCAAACAGCACTCCTTCAAATAACCTTGTTCAACAAGAAAGCAGAATCAAGTCCCCAACAGTCACCTTGGCAAACAAAAAATTCACCTGAAATCATATTATGCAAGAGTTTTCCAAATCCACAGCAGCAAACCTTGTGACCTGATCCAGCCACTACTAAAGCTGACTGTGAATTTTTCTATATGGGATTGTGGATGAGGCCATGTAAGAGGCCCAAGGGGACTGGGATTAGTTTCATATCAACAGAATTTACAAACAAGCTATGGCTAGTCTACCTTTGGGTTGAAAAGCAGTACTTAGTTGGAAGAGTAATTAGACACCAAAACCCTCAGTTTGAGAACTTTTTCAGGCTTGTTTCAGAGCAATAAGACAGTCATCCACAATAATAAACCAGAAAATCCTCCTGAAGGAAGCAGCCGAAAGGCAGTGAAGAATCACAAAATGATTTGAGGTGGAAGGCACCTTCAAGATCATGTAGTTTCAACTCCTTTACCATGGGCAGAGATAACACCCACTAGACTAGGTTGCTCAAAGCCCCACCCAACCTGGCCTTGAACACACTTCCAGGGATGGAGCATCCACAGCTTCTCTGGGCAAACTGTTCCAGTGCCTCACCACCCTCATAGTGAGGAATTTCATATTAATATCTAATCTAAATCTTCCCTCTTTCAGTTTAAAGCCATTACCTTTGTCCAATCCCTACACGCCTTTATAAAAGATCTTTTTATATTGTAGTATAAAAAAAGAGGCTCTGTGTAACAGAACCGGTAACTCCAACTCCAAGACATCAAGATGAAGAAGAAAGGTTGTCTATTTTTGTCGTGTTGTATTTCTAGCTGGCCTGTAAAATCCCACCAAACCAACATAAATGAGTGCTGTTACTTTTATTGCATGGCTTTCTTGTTCTAGAAGGTCTACCAGTGTTTAGGTTAACAGGTGTTCCGAGGTATTATTCATTATACAGTTAAGACATGAAAAACATTTAAGACATACCATAACACTCTCTGCATGAAAAAACTCACACTAATATGCAAACTACAAAAAAAAGCACTATGATGATAAAACCATAATTTTAATGAAATATTTAAAAGCCACTTAATAAAATTACACGAATTAATAATACAAAATATTAAACTTTAGACATCAGGTACCATGGTATAAATTTCCATGTCTCCTTTTTTCAGTCACAAATTCACTACTAACTCCCACTCTCTATATTTTTTTATTTTAGCACATAGAACTTCACCTCCTTTAGCCAGCCACTACAAGAATTACACACCTGGCCCAAACTACTTCTGATGCTTCCATTTTCTGTTAGAATTCTTCAGAATCCTGTAGCTGGGACTTTTACAATTATTACCTTGTTTTATTGAATCCAAACCTTCAAATGTTAAGCTTCATAGAGCACACCATCATTTTCATATCTGGTCACTGGTGACTTACCCTCTCCTTTCTCCCTGGAACTCCTGGAAGTGAGGTTTGGTTTCTACTACATATGCATTCAGATCACATTTTTCAGTTCCATTTCCAAGGAATTCATCTCTCTCCTTTCTTCCAAAGTACTTTTAAGAGTACTCTCCCCCACACAAATCCTCAGGAGAGGCATATCATTTCAAGCTTTAGAGAACTCTTTTTACTATAGGATGGTGCCCAGACAGGTGACATTGCAGTGTTTTGGCAACCTCATTTTGCCCAGCTTAGGAGTAAGAAGACAGCTCCAAGTTCTCTACTGAGTATAAGCAGAGTAACAGACAGAATTGCTGTATAAAACAACTGTCCCTCTCTACTGAGGGTCGCCCTCTCAGCGTAGTTTTGAATGGGCAATTTCAGATATTCACCACTTCATCATTATCAACAGGATCTAGCTATACATTTGTGACCTAATAGAAACACGTTTCCTCTCCCTCATAGAGCAGCAATTCAAGTCTGTGCTCACACAGAGTGAATCAGGGAACACAACAACCTGACCACTAGTTTCCTCCCTTCACTCAGAACAAAATCAAAGACACTGCCACTAAAACTTAATAAAAGGGGTCTATTTACACCAAAGAGTGCTTTCCTTACACTTTTAAAACAATATGCTCCACCAGAGATCAGTACACTAAGTCTCTAACCCATGGCTGGACCTAAAATTCTTCACAGTTTGTGCTTGCCCAGTCTTATGCTTTGCAAAATAAATCTGTGCAGCAGTCATATCACAGACAGTTCCAATTAAGAGGCTTTTTATCTTACTAGTTCTGTGCACCAAAAGTAGTATCTTTGTCATTCTCCTGCCACTAGGCGTCACTCTCTTCTATCGTGATCTTTATCCCTTAATCCACTTCCCAACACTTCACCTAGGAATCATCAGACCAATATTTTAAGTGGGAGAACATCCATTGCCATTAGTGCCTATCTAAAATGGAACCCAATTACTCAGGTCAAGGACAGATTTTTGTGATGTGACAGATAAAGTGCAAAAGATTGTTAGTGTCATTTTGTATGCTCCGCAAAGGTAAATAAAAACACTAAAAGAACAACTGGAACTCTACAGGAGGTGACCTGGGCTTTCCTCCATGGAGGAGTCATCTCAGATTCTAAAATCCTCTAAAACTAAGTGCATTTCCAAAAATAAGAGGAACCATAACAGGAGCATTAGTGGAACTAGTGGGCTCTACAAATAAAATAATTTTACTAATCAAGCAGCAGTCTTTTGAAGGACAAAGCAGAGTCACATCCTGTTGCTGCCACTTGTATTTCATTGATTTCAATTCCAGAAGCGATCACTATGATTACCTAGCTAGTCTACACAAACAACAAATGTGTGTATGCACGGTTTTGGTGGATACGAACTCCTCCCATACTGAGGGCAACCTGAAACTACAACTCACTTTGACAGTGAACACTCAAACAATTATCTTCCTGTTCCTCAAGTGAACTTGAAATAAAAAAACAAAATAAAATAAAATAAAACAAACAAAACAAAACAACCCCAAAAAACCAAACAAAAACAAAAACAAACAAACAAAAACAACAACAACAAAAAAACACAAAAAAAACACAAAAAACCAACCAAACAAACAAAAAAAAAAAAACACCAAACCCACAAACCAACCAACAACAAAACCCAAACTTAAGCTATGACTGCATTCTTCCACTGACCAGCTCAGCCACTTGGAATGATTCACTGGCATACAGGAATTAGGTATCTATGCATACCTAACTTGGGTCATAATTGATCTTAATAAACAACTTAACGTAATTTCCAGTATCAGCATCTCTGCCATATGTGAAATACAATTCAAGCTAAACTTGATTCAAGCTGAGCTTAATAGACAACTGTGAAGCCACTTTGAAGCATTAGGACAAAGGCTGCCATTAGGGAGCATGTAACTACTAAATTATGAAATACTGCCCAATTTGACAAAATTGTTGGCGTAATTCATAACTAACAGGGTGAAGTTCTAATGTGTATGCACATATGAAACACAAACAATGCTTTTCAATACTTCTGATGCATACAGAATGCTACCAGCAACAAATCACTATGTCAATGAGCTTCTTGCAAAAGTTTCTAGTTCACATGCAAGGAATTACTTCGCATTGTACTTTTGCGTTACCCTACTAGGAAACTGCTGCTTCAGTGTTATATCCTCTTCTTTTGTTGTGTTTCACCATTTAATTTTCCATTTTCCATTGCTTTATTTTCGAAGTTCCAGTCCGTTGGGCTGAGGAGTTGCTGAGTTTTTTTGTATGTCCAGTATGGGTTAAGTATTAGCGTAACAGCAAATAATCCCGAGAATAAAACAATAAAGTGAAGAAGTCCCAGGTTTTCTACCACAGAATTCCAATTGAAAATACACACCCACCACATGTGGTAAGTAAGAATCATGCGGCAGTGAAACAGGTGGATCATCACCCACTGGTTTGCCTTCCAGAAAAAGGTGTTAGCACAGCCAGCCTAGAAAAAGAAGAACACAAAGTATGCAGAAGTGAGATTGTTACTTCAAGATAAGGAACTGAGGAATCTGTAGAACTAATGCAAATATCCAGCTTTCATAAACACATGCTCTCAGGCATTTTTTCCACATAGTGCTACGATATTCCACATATATACGGCATCCCAAACTCAGTACACATCTATAGCATCTCACAGTGCACATGCACACAGCACCACACAGAAACCTATATGGAGGCCTGCAGAAATACCATCACTACAAAAGCAGGTATGGCAATAACATGGATATCAGTTGGATTAACACAGTTTTGATGAGAAGCTATCCAGACAAACCACACAGATTACCTATATGGACGAGTAAAATGCACGAAAACTGATATACAAACATAATCTGAAAATTATCACATTCTTACCTTCAGAAGCATCCAGGAAATGCATGTTGCGGGAGTACTCATCTCCAGCAACATTCCCATCAAAGGCAGATAATGTCCAGATTTCACATTAATTACCAGACCAGCCAAGCCACCAAAAGCAAGCAAATGATGAACTACCAAGAACACATCAAATGTTCTAAAAACAATGTTGGACACATGGACTGCTACATTTTCAAGCAAGAAAAATCCAGCAGCTATTAAACAGTTAAACCAACTCCACTTTTGCTGTGAATACACTTTGTCAGCATGAAAAACGGGATCTATGAGCAAAGCCCACAGCCCAGCAACACAGCTCTGAAGTCCAAACACACCACGTGTGACTGCCATATTCCAAAACACCTTCTCCTTTGCATACAAGGCACGGTAAGTGGTACTTCTCCATGAAGACAACCAGTGAGACAGAAGAAATACTCCCAAGTAGATTAAAAAACCAGCAGCTATAATTGTCAAACGAACTTCCCATAAGAGATAGTCCCAGTCAAAAATGGTCCCAAACACTGCACCATCATTTGTAGGATTCATTTCTTCTCTTTTGACACTTCTCATTCCCACTATAGTCTCCTTCATGCCTATTCAGCCTCTGCTGTTACGTAAACCAGAAACCATGAACTCTTCTTTTCCATCTGGAACAAGGAGAAAAATATTTAGTGAATTTTCAAGTCATCCAAATACGCAGCTTCTAAACCACAGAGAACTCACATCCACTGCAGTTATGACTTTGGTCCTGTTGCCATTAGGCAGTCATCCCAAAGACAGGTAGACAGACAAAAAAAACTTAAGCAATGTGTTTCAGATTAACAACCATCCTGTGAAATCTGTACTAGTACAAAGCAATGCACTGAAGCAAAAGCAGAAGAGGGTCAAGTAGGAAGGCAAGAAACAGGAAGACAAAATACAAGAAGCAAATCTTGTTTTGTTACTTATGAAACTTTTATTTCAACAGTATTGCGCAGTTATTGTACTACTCCCCTCCTTTTCCTTCACTGATTTTGCACCATTTGCTACAGCTTTAGGTGCAATTCAGTATCTCAAATACAGATCCAGGACATAAAACTACAGAAACTTAATGCAGTAAGCAGGACCACTTATGCTGGAAAAGGGTTGTCATGATCATGGCTTTAAAAAAGGCTCTGCAATCAGTATTTTAACATTAAGCCACTTTCCAACAGAAAACATATTCAAAAATGAAAAGAGACTATGGAATGCAGACAAGCAACATTATTCTATATTATTAGCAACATCAGTGTAATTAACTGAACAGCCCAGCATCAAGTGTCTCAAGTTAGCTGAAACTTCCTGAACACACTGTAGTTCAAAAACAAGGATAAGTGGGGAGAGAAAAGCCAGGCAGTACTGAAAGATTTGAATGCCAGCTCGTTTTATGAATTATACAGGCGACATCAGCATGACCACGAGACCCACCGCAGCCTGTAAATGCTTAACACCGCTATGCGTTTGGCAGTCTGGTGCGAACCAGATGAAAAAGCCACAAAAAGCAGCGAAGACAGAGCCCCCAGTGAGAATCTCCGGCCTTGCTTCAGCAGGCAGCAAATCCCACCACGACAGCCCGGATCCCGCAGGCATCTGCTCGCCCTGCCCTTTGCTCAAGCGTCCCGCTCCAAGGAGGGGGTGGGCTGCGAGCCCCGAAGGTCCTTCGCCCACCCCACGCCCACACCTGGCAAGACCGACTTGAGGTCCCAGCAGCACCCCTTCCCTCATCTCCCGGGGGAAAACCGGGGCAAAACACACCGATGCCACGGCACGACCAGCCCCTGAACAGCGCGACCCACTGCCGTGAGCTCCGGCTCCAGCAGGGCCGTGACAGCTCCTCCGCCCCCGCAGAGACACGGCACAGACACGACACCGACACCCCCGTCCCCGTCCCGCCCCCGCAGAGACACGGCACAGACACGACAACGACAGCCCTGTCCCCGTCCCGCCCCCGCCGAGCCCCTCACGCAGACCGGGAGGACTGGTCCCGGCATACAAACTCCGCTCGCACCCGCCGCTCCTCACCCACAGCGCTGCCCGCGATGGCGGGACGGCCCTGCCCGGCTCGGAGACTGCTCTCCCCGGCCCCCGGGAGCGCCCGGCCCGGCCCGACCCGACCCGCCCGGGGAGGGCCCGACCCTGCTCGACCCGCCGGTCCCGCAGCACCGCCCGCCGCCGCCGCACGCCCTCTGCGCATGCGCTGCTGTCGGCACCAACCACCGCTCGCAGCGAGGCCGGGGAGACGCGGCGGTACCACTGCGGCGGGGGGAGCTTTGAGCTTTGTTTGCAAGGTGCGTCTCTGCCGCGCAGCAGCGCTGAACGTCACCGCCGCGGAAAAGTGAACGCTTACCACCCTGCTCAGCAAGAACAGTAGTAAAAAAGAAGTATTAGCCAAGCCATAGCCAATACGTTTGCCCATAATTATCCAGTTTCATTAAGAGCATCAAATTATTAAATAGATGTCGTGGTGTTCTGCTCCGTGATTCTCTCCATGCTTGTGACAAGTGACGGTGTCATCCCGGTGACTCAGTCCGGCTGGATCTCCCGCGGTCACTGAACCCACAACGGAAGGGTTCCTCGGCTGTTTGCCAGCCCCGCACCCGCGGTGTACTTTGGCTTCAACGGGAGACACTGGCAGGGACTGCGAGTTTTGGCAGGGAAAAGCTCAGTCCCACAACAGACCAGGGGATTCCTCAAAAAAGGGACCGAAAAAAGACAAATCAAGCCACAACTTCTCACACATAGAGTACTGGCCTACAACAGCTGACATCCTAAACTGGGTCTGCAGGTGGTGAGAGACCAGAGCTAGGAAATCTGTCCTGAAGTCTGACGCGCGCTCGCTTTCCAGAGGGGAAGAGGGAAATGCTGCCATTCCCTGCGAAAAACAGGGTCCTGCCACAGCAGCAGGATAGCTGGGCAGCGGGGGTTTTGTGGATTTGCTTTTAATTGCTAATGGGATACCCCTGTCCCTGCGGACCCCTAAGCTCAGTGCAAAGTAAGATCTGTCCGTGCGCCACCTCAGTAGTTTAGGTACAGGCAGCAACAGCTGTTTGTTGGAAAAGTCCGGCCACAAAACCTACAGCTTCTGCCTCCTTTTAATGCGCTGGGTGTGAGGCACCTTCCCTCCGAGCTCCTCTGCAGACAGCCCCAAGGGACAGCAGGGCTCGGCCGAAGCCCTGCCTACACACTCCGACACTACCCGGGTGCCAGTGAGGTGAGTCACAGGAGGAGCACACCTGCCGCTTCACCACCAGTAACCTCAGCAGGGCCAGGAGGACCAGGCTCGGCAGTAAACGCAGGGCAAGAAATTTCAGCCAAAATACCTATTTCATGCAGTGAGCACGACTGAGTGACACAGGTTGTAATGACGTGTGCTGGCAAATTGGTCTTGTAGACAGAAAGATTACTTTTTGCTCAAAATTGAGAGTAAATTTCTTGCAAAGCTTTGGGATAGGGTCAGAGCCATTTACTAACCCTGAAGGGAAAAAAGGGCTGCGTAGCTTGAGAGATGCAAAGCAGAAATTCTGAAGGAGCTGTCACTTGGAAAGTGCTTCCTAGCTGGTGGTGAATATTCATTTATTAACCTCTGTTCCCGAGGAGATACCGGACCTGTCCCAGGAAACCTGAAAACAATAATAAAGCTGATCAGCAAAAGCAGGGAAGAAGTTGGAAGAAGTTGCTCTCTCAAGCAACATGACTGGGTTGATGTACCAAGGGCATGTGTTTTAGCTTCATCTAGTTTTGTTTTTCCCATAGCTGTCTTTAAATAATTTCTTTAAGCTGTAACATCTTAAAGAAGGAGATAGGAACTGTGATCATACTGTCAAAAGCAAGATCACAGGCTGTTGTCTTTCTGTGGATTTTCTTTGTCTTTGCTGCCTTTCTTGCCTTCTCAAGCATAATCATATTTTTTTGATTACTAGCAACTATAGCCATGTTAAAATAGTTCAGTGTTACTTTCTGAATCTCCTGATACTAGAACCATACTCAGTGACAGCTTTTTAATAGGTACCTCATTATGATCACTTCAGGTATTTCAAAGCAGTGCTTCCCACAGTGAGGCTCATCTTCCCTCTTATGTCATATTCAGTTCTCCTGTTTACAGCTATTTTGTCTGGATGCTACAGCATGCCCTGTCCAAAGCTAAATTTCCTATCTACAGTGTCTCAGTTTTGAAAGACTTTCTCAGCATCTTCAGAATGTCATGACTCAAAGAGCAAAGAGCACCTCCAGCAGAGAGTCCTGCCTGCAGTCTGCAGCCTCTTCATGCTGGATCAATAGTGCTTGCCTGAAGTCAAGAACAAGTTTTTTTTTTTGTTGCCTCAATGGCTACATCTATGCATCCTCCACCATGTGGGGGCTGCCTTTTGCTTTGAAACAGGTGGCTACACCCCAGCTGGCCATTGAATATGATTCCAGTACACACTATTTCCAAAATATCTATATAAATGTTGGCTTCAGAAGGTAATTTTGACCATATTCCTACTTCAAATGGGACTCATGCCCCATTCCCAGAAACCATCTAGACAAGTACTAGTAAGTACTGGTGAAACTCCTTCCAGGTAGTATAGTAATAATTAGATACTGCATGTGGTAACAAATCAGTAGCTCCTCTGCTTTATTTACAAATATACAGATAGATGATGATAGTTAAAAATGTCTTTAGTTTTAACACTTTTACATTAGCACTCTCAGTGGTGTGAGAGCACCTTAAAGGCAGAGGCTTAGGAGATGTATACAGAGGACACAAGGCCAACCAGTGAGATCTTCAGTGAGAAGGGAGCCTACTGTTTGTGCAGAGGCTGCAAGATGACTCCTATAGGATGCGAAGGGGTGCTTGTGTGTATGTGTGGTGGGAATACAGAATATGGCCAGCTGGTGCTTCTATTGCTCTTGACAGCGAGTTGAGTAATGTGTTTTAGGGGTGAGTTGAGAAAGGAGTTTCAATCCCATTATCAAATTAATCCATCCATTGCAGACAAGTGCTTGTCCTGTAAATATTTCCCTTGGACGTGTAGTGGCAGAAAAGTCCACAATAAGCCATGATGAATTCTGCCTTTTGCAGTGGCAGCAGAGGGGATTTTTTCCCTGCAGGAGACATGGTATGATGACAAAGTGGCCACAAGTTATCTGTGGCAGAAGCAAAGGGATGGAGTTTGGAAGAACTCCTGCCTGATGAGGCTATTTTCTGATAATTTTATAGCTTTTTCTCATCCTCTGAGTAGCATATGAAGGAACTCAAGTTACTGCCTAAGGTTATTTTAATTCATTTTTTAATTCCATAGTACCAAACACTTGTAATTAGTGTATGTTGAAGTAAGTCATATGATCATAAATAAGACCTGAGTTGAGTAAGTCATATGATCATAAATAAGACCTGAGCTGGTAGATAAAATGTCTACTGCTAATTTAAAAATCAAGAACTTGTTGACTTCTCAAAATGTTTTAACCTGCTGCTCCCAAAGTTTTAGAAAAGCTTACACATTTACAGGTGCAGATTCATACATATATGCACAACTTGTATTGACCTGTCATACAATCATGTGTTTTCAGTGACATGCTTTTTGAATTCTTTTTTTAAACTGAAATTTTCACCTTAACCACCTACTAATCTATCTGTGTTCAAATCTCTAGGAGCTTTACTACTAGTTGAAAGAGCTTTGCTTCAAGTCTATGGGAGATTTACTAAATACCTGCTTCAAGGAATGCTTGAAGGCAATACCAAATGTGTAATCTGGGTTTTTTTTTACGGCTTTACACATACTCTCAAAGTTCTTCTGATTCTTGTCCAGCAAGTACTTATGCAGTATTCCTAGATGCAAACTACAGTTATTCAAAGGAGTGCTTTGAACATGCTTGTTTAAGGCCTTTTTCCTCTCAGCTAACAGGAAGCATACTCGACTTTTTTTAGAAACTTGTATTACAAGGCTTTCACATGTGCCAAGGATTCAGAATGTCTTTACATTGCATAACATATCTACCCAGACTAGTTTGCTTTCCTTAGTACTGGTTTCTACAACCTCTTTTTATATTTCGCTTAAGGTGACTTTTAAGTGAGTAATCAACTCCTTATGCTTCAGAACAAACATTGAAAATAGTTGCCTTGAAACACTTGATATTCTCAAAATTTTAAACAATTCAGATTTGCTGAGCATCCAGACTTTGAGCTACCAGTTGTGGGAAAAATCATACCAATGAAACTGTCTGCTTCTCCCTGCTTGAATCTTTCCAGACAATGGATGTAGTGTAGAAAAATTGGAGATTCTTTGCTCAGTCCCTCTCAAGATCATCTCCCATTTCTCTTTATGAACATTTCATGAAAATGCTGGAGGTATGCAACCGCTGTTGAGTAGTGCTATACATCCCAGTTTCACACAAAAAGCTCTATTGGGTTGAATCACTGCTTAAATATATTTAATAATATATTTTTTAGCCCCTCTTTTCCCTAATTCTGTCCAGTAGGTGCCTCTTTATGGTCCTCCTCGAGGATCTTCACCTCCTGGTGCCCAGTATCACTGATGACACTAGCCCATTCTTTTACAACATAGGAATAATAAATAAGAATAATACTGACTGTATCCAGACCTGGATGCTAGTTCCTCAGTTGCTTCTGGTTGGCTTCAGGTAACTAGCATGAGGTGATGATACAAGATTGGGTTCACAGTTGAACGTTTTTATTCCTCCCTTACTCATCAACATGTCTTAACAATGTTCACTGGAACAAGTTATTCTGCCTTAGTAGTTAGGCTCTTGCTTCACAGCTGTAGTCATGAAGGTTAGCCTTAACTGGTGTTTCAGGTTTACCCGGAACCTCTAGTTCCTTCTTTCTCATTTTTCACACAGTTACCTTCAGTGCCTCTTCAGGAATCAAAGGAAAATCCTGTGACTGTCTCATGGAATATATGCTTATCATTTTGGGGTTTTATTTAGCTCCAGGTGGTCTCACCTGAATAGAAAGTAGGGGCTTTACCAGGAGGCAAAATGATGCTTTTCAAATTAGAGCAGGCAGTGACTGGCTTACCAGTGGGTCTCTAGCAAGGGTTTCATTCCAGGTTATCACCTCAGACTATCTTTCAGTTTTATCTGTAGACAGCTACCAACAGTCCCTGTGAAAACTCTCTGAGGTGA